TTTCAATAATTTCAAAATTTTCTAAATGGAAGCCCTTTGGACAGTTTTTTGCTTTTTTTATATTTTTAGATTGCGTAGCACCAACGAGGCGTAATAAGAAAAATAATGAGTACGGTGTATAACCATGCAAAAAAACCTTAAGTGCAGGAATTATATCAAGCGACCCAGTGGTGATTGGTTATAGTTTTACATATGATTTGTTTCGATTATGGTCAGAATTTTCATGTTTTCAATTTTTTCTGCACCTAAGTCAGGCCATAGCACTCTAGTTTTCCTAAGGTGTGGTATCCTTTTTCATGTCGTCCTCCCGTGTCACCAAATCTTAGCTGTTTGACGGGAAGGTGGAACTTGATGGTGAGAAAACCGCTGTCTTCCCGCCACTTTTGATCATTTTGATCACACGATCTAGTTAAACTACATATGCAGCTACCAGTTGTTAAGTTTGCTCCCCCCCAGTACATCATGTTCTGGCCGTCACGTGAAACCCACCATGAATATCCATCTTTAATTAAAGTGGCGTGGAAACACTCGTATTGTATGAACTGTCGACAGTTATCAGAGGCTTCCGTCAGAGCTTTTAACTGAGATATGCTGGCAGATCTGTAATGAATATCAACGAAATATTCACCGCACTTTTCGTATCCTATCACCTGCGTTCTGTTTTCACTGTCGTGACCGACGACTGTCACTCCAACGCCTCCTTTGCCAGTCATGTTACAGTATACAGGAAATGGATCCTCGCCAAGAACACCGTCAGGATCGATGAGGTAATCACCACTGACCTCGCTGATGCTTGTCTTTACTTTGCTGCAGGTTTCAGGGTATTTTACATGAACGGTGACCCTTGTTTGACTTGAGCTGAATGCATCAGCCACATTGCAAGTGTAGGAACCAGAATGAGATATGTTAGCAGATAAAATGGTCAAAACATTCAAGGAGTCAACAGTCGCTCCTGAAGAAAAGGAAAAAGTTCCATCATACATCCATAGTATGGCTGGCTTCAGGTGGCTTGAAGCACAGCAACGCAGAATGACAGCTTCATGCGCCATCACTGTCACATTTGACGGAGGCCTGATGACAAATTTGAGAGCTGAAAAGACACGAAGGAGAACTGACGATGATTTGGTACTGCAGGGGTTTGTCGCAGTTCACACGTTGGAGCCGTTTTCTTGTGTAGTGACATTTTTTTATAGTGAGATTTCCTTCAATAACAATGGTCCTCGCGCTGGAAAGAATTCCATCAGGCTTTTTCCATATGATCCTGTTTGGTTTAGGATTCGCTGTCACGTTACACATTACAGTAACGTTCCTACCCTCCACAGTTTCAATTACGTCGGGAACAACTTGCACCAAAGGCGGTCCTAGAACACCAAAATGATAACCCATGGGAATAACGTAAATAATCTCACTACTGTATCGATCAAGACCATTGTTTACTTTATTCGAGATCTGATAGTAACCACCGTTCTTAGGCGACGACTTTTCTGCAGTCAGCTCCATTTTAAGCTAGACCTGCCACCAGTCGATCACTATAGGCAAAAGGTCAAGAGAGGTCGTTTGTAGGAACTCCTTGTCCATCTCAGCAATTTAAGATCACAAAAGCCATTTAAGACCTCACATATCATCATGAGGTATAGCTTTCTCCCTCACGCCCCTATTTTCCTTCTGACACCTAAAAAAATTTCTCATTTATTTAAATCCAAAGATCCTCCAAATTTAACGACTTCTCAAAGAGAAATACACGATTATTGTCAATGACCAATCAAATCAACATACCTTCAGTGCAGTTTTTTCCCAGTAATCCATTTGTGCAAACACAGCGATAACCCTTCCTGGTGAAGCCAGTTTGGAATCGCTTTTTCGATGGACAAAGCGTACTAGAACAGCGGTTCTGTGAAGATATAAAGATATTTATAAAACTTTTTGGTCTGGTACCCTTCCCCCTCCTTTCTTCCATGCCCACTTCATGGAATTACATGTGAGAATAAGTCAACTCACCTTAAATGATTTGTAAACAGTCCCTCCTTTGTACCTTAGATCATGTTGATTATTTGCGTCATCTGAAGCACTCAATTCGCACAAAGGTTTTCCATTCTGTTGTGGTTCTAGATTGTAGGAAGCACAATCAGCTTCCAGGAAACATTTGACTTCACATGCGCTGGCTGTCTCAATCCTCACCATTTTGAAAACGTGTTTCTCGAAGATAAAGTCCTGTTTTGCAGGGTTCCACTCTACTTGCCGACAGTTTTCTTAAAATTAAGCAAAATGAGAGTATAGTTTACGTGTCTACGTAGAAGGGCAACCTATTTCTAAATT